AGGGGCTGTGGGAGACCATTGGTATAAAGGACTCCATAGAAAGTGAATCTGTATTCAGTGTGTCACATCCTTATCCGCTGGTTCTGTCTGAGGAGATGAAGCTCACTTTGGGCCTAGAAATTAGGTGATTAAATTAAGTTGAGCACCTACCACTGCATTTAGGCACCTAAGAGCTAAATTAGTGCTGATTAAAGTGCGTGGGAATTGAGGGCACTCAGAAGTTCCCAAGATCTCATCATAAGAGAGATGGGAACTGCCCCAGTCATCTCAGTGGGCACAATTAACTGTGAAGCCTTATGAAAAATTAAATATCAACATTGTTAGCCATTTTATTACTGTTGTCTTCAGCAGAAACAACCAGCTACCGTGGGATTGTGGGCCGTCTGAGCAGAGAATCAGCAACCTAACCCTTGCTTTTGGTGCTATCTAATTTGCTAACTGTTATTATTTTCCTTTGGTCCATCATTTGTGAGCTCGGTTCCTGATTGTGATCTGCATTTTTATCCAAGTAAGGAGAGGGATGGGGTCTGCGCTAACAACACAGAGAAAGCCACCACAGAGATGCAGCTCAAAGTCTAAGCCTAAATGTAGGGCAGGAACGCTTCGATCCCAGCTGTGGGGGAAGAATGCCTTCAATTGCGAGAGTCTTGGGCTCAGATCTTTGACCCAAACAATCAAAATGTTGCTGACTCGACCAAGTGCATTCGCTTCATGAGATGGGAATCGAAAGTTTGGTCAGCATAATTAGGTTAAACTGTTTTCTTGATAGTACTGTATTTGCATATTACATAGCCGAGCTTCAGATTTTATCTGTAAATAAGCCCAATTCGGGGCCTCTAGCCGTGAAAGTCAATGGGGGGAGGAGGGACTGTCTAGGCAGACTTGGGTGTCAGATGGATAATCGCCCCATGACAGGCCCTAGAAATCAAGGCCTCCAACTAGATCTCATAGCAGCTATGCCAAGAAAAGAGCAAATGTGGTCTTTCATTGAATAGCAAGAATGCTATCCCAGCGCTCAGGAAACACGGTGATGTTAAGATATGGCTGTATGTTTCACTCATCTATTTTTTGCTACCATGATTATTTGCATCTGGGGAAATACAGAGTGATTACAGCTGGGTAGAATCTTGCAAACAAATCGTCTTTTATCGGGGAGGCAAAAAAATGACCTTTTCAGAAATGAAACATTTTGCGAAGCCAGTAAGTTCGTTTTCTTTTGGCAATGCTTAACTTTTCAAAAGTTTTGAATAGAAACTGCAAATATTTTTTTTTAAAGGTAGCCTGTTGGGCTTTTGGCCTTCATTTTTTCAATTATTAATTATTTTATTAATGAATATTATTATTTGCACTACAGTAGCACCTAGGGGCACCAGCTAGGGACCATGAACCCACTGTGCTAGGCACTATACAAACACAAAACAAAAAGAGAGTCACAATCTTCATTTTAGTTTTTGATCTTCTTCTCCTTGTACATTTAGTCTTCCCACACAGTTGTCTTCTTTGGGCTGTGTGTTCTAACATCCTTATGTTCAGCCATCATTGAACCTTTGTGTTTAGCAGTTCTCACTATACCTCCCTTCTTTTTTGTGTGATTGCGTGCGTTCAGTCAGTAAGCCTTCTTCGTCTTCAGGCATCGACACTGCTGGTTTGTTTTTGCTGCATTGCTGATTTTGATTGGACAGCTCAGCCACCGGTGGTTCCCAAAATCAAACAAAGTGTCTTTTTGAAAACCTTTGATTTCAAACTAAAAAAAAATAAATCATTTTTGAAAATGAAAAATGTGTGTGACAGGGTGTATCTACCTTCCACTGGACCTGCAGGGGTTAATGCAGACTGAGGAAGCCATGCCCCTCCCTCCCTGCTGGGCATATTCAGCCTGAAGACAGAGTATAAAGGGAAGCCATGCTGCTCATTTGGGCTGGACCACCAAGGAGGAAGGATGTGTATTGCAAGCTCCCTCTGGAGAGCTGCAGGAGCCCCAGTCTACACTGACCAGGCACGCCAAACCTCAGGCGGACCCTGGACTGCCTACAGAGACCTGCGAGGGAACTGAACCTGTCAGAAACCTCTCCAGCTGGAGACCCCTGGGACCAAAGGACCTGCGGACTGCTGCACCGAAAGACAGGATAGGAAGTGGCCCAGGGAAAATAGATACTGGCCCAGCCATAGTGTTGTGGTGGGATCCCTGCTGACCCAGTAGCGGAACCGTCCGCCACTGTTCGGGGCCTGGACTGAGATCCGGTGGAGTAGGGTGGGTCCCCTACCACCAGCTACCAACCTCACCCCTGGGGTGGCAGCCTCCTCACATTAGGCCTGTGTTTGTCTGCTGCCTGCCAGAGCTAGGACAGGCTGTTTGCTGTTCCACCCTGCCTGAGGACCCCAGACTGCATGTTTGTTGCTCTACACTGCCTGAAATCCTAAGACCGAACTGGTTGGGTGCTCTACCTGGCTTGAAGGTCTGAGACCCTGCGTAATGGCCCCAAAGAACTCTGACCTCTAGGTCACACTGCCTGAGAGAAAAGGTAGCCCAAAGAACTGACTGCTAGGCCACACACTCCTGTTTTTGTGGCTTAGGCCATCAGAGAGACTTTAGCAGCTGGGGAGTAAAGCCCCCTGCCAACTGTACATGACTGGATACCCCTGAATGGGGTGTATGTACCCCGTGACAATGTGCAATAAAAATTATGCAGACAATATCAAACAACAAATCATTCTATTTTGAAAACTAACAGAATGAAAATGAGCTTGGGGATTTTCAACCAAGGTAACAGTCTAATTATGTGGGTACAGATAAAAGGGGCATGCGGAGGGGGAGAACCTAATATGGATGCAATTATACTGCTATAAAAAGTACTTATGGTAATATAGCTTATTCTGGTTTGGTGTAATTGTCTATACCAGGGTTTTTACAAGTACAACTGTTGTAAAAAATTACATCCCTACCCCATACAGTGACACCAGTAGAATGTCTACCAGTCCAGTCCAGCCCTAAATAACAAGAGTGAAATCCAGGGAAGGTGAAAATGCAAGTTAGTGCTACTGCTGAGACTACAGTAAAGATTTAGGTCTAGATTGTGCTTGAGTGGTTAGTTACATCCACAACCCCACAATGTCTCATTGAAGCCAATAGGTCTATTTGTGTGAGTAAATGCATCGAGGTGTGTAAGGAGTCCATAATTACACAGGCTTACCTCTGGGATGAGGCAAGAGGTGTTACATTTGCTCGTTGTCTGCACCAAAAATAGCAGGCTGAGGTCAAAATGTTTTCTGTCAGGGACAGCCAATCTTTTTACAAAGCCTGGGACTCAGAAGTTGCTGTAGTACAGATTTCTTTCACCCTACTCCAACTGCCTGGAAAAGTGAAGAGTTAGGCTAGTTCTACCATACCCCCCTTTCCCCTTCCCCATTTTCCTATATCTAGAAAAGAATTTCACGTCGAATGGGCTGAAAAACAAAGTACTAAATAATTTTTAGAAATTTCAGCTGGTTGGAAAAACTGAGGAAGAAAGAATTTTCATTGCAAAAGTTGAGCACTTCCTCAAAAAAATCAGCACAAAAAAAGTAAGATGGACCGGTGACATGAAGCCTATCAGAGAAGGGATGTAACTGAGTGAGCTCTCTGCTGGCATCTGCTGCAGAGCAAGGGGAATCGACTGAGTGAGGTTGTACCTGATTTAAATACCAACTGCGTTCTTTGCTGTCATCTGCTGGAGAGCAAGGGGAGTCAACTGAGAGAGGCAATACCTTGTTTACATATTAACTGGCTATTTTGGGGACATTGGGGTATCATTTGGCTACATTTTGTACTTGGGGACAATATTTTGGAGATTATCCTGTTGGGAATCACCTGGGCAAAGCCTGGATACTGACTGGGTTGGGATCACCCTGAGGGAGACTAATGTTTGCTGAGGCTGGGGACAGAGGCCTGGGACTTACTCTCTCTTTCTTTGAAGTCTGATTATGTTCTGGTTTGCTGTTAGAAATGTCTTTTTGGTGGCATGGGCGCTGCTGGATTCTTTAGATTAGTGTTTCTCAATGTACCAGCACCGTTCCATGGCAACCTCAATGCCGGTCCCTGAGATTTCCCTGAGACATTTTAGGAAAGCAGCAAGCTGGTCCCTGGTATCAAAGAGGTTGAGATGCACTTCTTTCAATTACTGGTCCTTTTGCATCTGAAAGAGCTGAGCTGAGAACTGCAGTTGCCTTTGTGAGCAGAGCTCAGCTGTGACTCCTGCTGTTTGAGAAGAAGGAGGCAGCGCTCAGCAGCCATTTTTGTCAGCTGGCCAGCAGTAGGTAGAGCAAAGTGGTAGGTGGGTCCAACCACAGTATCCTGCAGACAGAGCAATTGGGTGGACTACGGTGGGAGCAGAGGAGTTTGCAGGCCGTTTCGCTGGTCCCCTCTAGTGAGGCCTCCCTGTCCTAGCTGCTAAAATCATTATAGCAGGACAGGTGGCAGAGCCTGAGAACTGCTTAAGAAACAGGGACCCTGATTTTCTTGGGACCACAAACAGAGTGGGGAAACTGGGAACCCATGAACTGCAAATAGGGGATTGGGAGGTGGAAAAATTGCATCAGCCACTCAGGATCCAATTGTTTGGGGCTGTGACACATGCCCCCCTGAGGTAGTAGGTGACAAAGTGAAACTGCAAAATTTGTCCGAGTTCACCCTTTCCTTTCCCCAACAAAACTCATTTAAACCTCTGTTGAATGTGCTTGCGAGTGGGTCCAGTTTTGCCTATCAAAGGTGGCCAGAGTGGATATGGGTTCCCAGATTACTGCGGGGGAGCTCCAGCCAATAGTAAACAAATGGTAGAGAATCCCCTAGAAAGAAGGACCCAGCCCTTGTTACTCCCAACACCCCTGGCAGAAGTGTTATAGTACATTCGCCTTCCCCCAACTGCTTCACAGCTAAATTACACCTTCATGACACCTCTGCTTGGGTCAGGGCTGGTCCAATCCCACAGAACATCCGCAACATAAGGCACCGCACTGGAGACAGATGATCTTGACATTTTATTATTTGAATAAGTATTGTAGCATCCCCATCACTGAACACAAGACTGAGATGCCAATTACACAAAGGAAAAAGCAGTATTAGCTGTACAGAGTGTGAAACAGTAAGGACCACTTTCAACATCCACTCCTGCTGAGAGCCCTTTACGGAGAGTTACTATTACAATTCTGATAGACCTTGCACCAACGCTGCTAGGCAGGCATTGGCACCATGAGAAAATTACTCAGGACAGGTTCCATTATACACAAGTCATCTGACACAACTCTGGGCATATGGTTTTAGAGCTTTCTATCAATATCATCTCTCTGTGTATAAACCTATTACACCATATAATGCAGAAGTCCAAACCTTCAGTCTTACAAATCACTGGGCAAAAGGGAGTTAGTAACACTTTGCATCCTTCTCTGCTTGCCCCTGGAGAACACTGATAGAAATGAGCACTAATTCAGCTGACAGTACTTATGGAGTTGCTGGGTAAAGTTTTCATATGTGCTTGAGTCCTGTTAACTTTAAGTGGGACTTGGTGCTTAAATCCCTTTGAAAATTAATGGGACCTAGGCTCAAAAGCATCTAAAACAATTAGACATTGTTCTTTCAATGTATCATGTGTCTTGTTCTACTCATTCTACAGGAAGACTTAACATGGATGAGAACTCTGGACAGAGATCTGGAACCACATGTATCCCTTAGAAACTCTGCAGCCTTAAATTCCTTGATATGTAGAACTCTGGTATTGAAACAGGTTACCAGCTCAACAGTTCCAAACTGTGTCACCAATCTGGTTTTGAAATTCCAGATAGGGCTGTGAGATTCACTCATCCTTGGCTTCTCTTACCTACCATCAAGTCTAACATTGCACAGCAGGAAGAGCCTTTAATCACATCTGCCAAGTCAAACCTGCCTACTCCTGGGAGCATCAATTAAAATCCAATTGTAGAATCATTGTTCAAAATGGTCCAAATATCACAGCTCAGGTTGAGTTTGCAGCATATGTATTCAGGGAAAAGGACAAATTATCTTGACTTGTAAATGAATCAGATTCAGGTCTCGAATCACTAGAGATTATGGAACCCAATGTCATTTTGACAGTCATTTTCCTGACTAAGTGCATATTAATATCCCATTTAAAAACCTGAAAGTATGAGAATTTATAAAACTGTCGCCACCAAATGGTGAATTTGTGCATTGCCATTGTAAAAAAAGTAAAAATTACACTTTAGGCAGACATTTAAAAAATGGAGGAGGGGTTTAAAAGGACCACCTCAGAATGAGAAATCTATGCTACGTGAAAGTGTACAGCAAAAACTTGTATCCTGAGCTCTCCACATGGAGATAAAAATCTCAAATCAGCCTCAACTATTGTGTCCTGAATGAAGCTCGTTAGAGATTGCATACAGCTGAGACTCACCTAAAGCACATTTAGAAGACAAGTAATTTGTACTTAAGGGCTTTTTGCTACTCATAAAAACAAAAACACTCCAATGGTTTTGGAATCAAACTAATCAAAACAGACTTTGGATCCCCAGGCCTTCAAGAACCAGCTTCTTTATTTCTTCTCAAACTCCATGAGACAGTACAGAGCTACAGCTGCAGAGTTTGCCAATTCCAGCTTGGGCTATAAGTGGCAGAAAGTTCGGTTCTGCCAAGTAATGCATTCAGGATGGGCCTGAGGACTCATAGGAGAAGCGTTTCCAACTCCAATTCATGAGAACCTGGCATCTCCCACCCCGAAGCTCAGATTAAGAAGATAATGTCATCAGACATCATGATCTGGTTATCGTCTTGCATGCGCTCCAATGCCACCTTGACTTCAGCTGCCGAGAAGGGGTCAGGGTTATCCAGGTTGATGGACTCCATCAGGCTCTTCAGACCCACCGACTGCGCATGGGCAGCTCTGAACACCTCCAGAAGACCAGCCTTGAAAGCTTTCAGCCTAGCCAAGCAGGAGGAAAGGTAATTAGAACCAGAAGCTAGACTCAAATCATTCTTCATTCACAGCCATTAATTCTTCCCCAGAGAGAGAGTCACAGTTCCCAGCATGAGATCAAAGATTGAGGACCCTAGCACCTGCAACCTACCTTGGGAATTTTTAAGGGGTCACCTTATCAATATTCTGTGATTCTGTGAAAATGGTTAGTCTCTAAGGTGCCACTAGTACCTTAGTGCCTTATCTGCCAACCACGTGAGTCGGGGTCAATGGTATCAGCTATCTGACAGAGTGCCTTCCAAGCAGTAGGATTCCAAAGTGCTTTACAAACTAGATAGAATTGCTGCACCCGACCTGGAAATGCTGTTCAAGACAGGAAGCAAATAATACCCCAACTGAACTGCAGATGGTATTTTACCCACTTCAGAATCTGGTCAGCTCATAGGGGTTAAAGTCCCCTAACTCTTGTGACTGCTATTAAATGTATGAATGGTTTGTGCATGATTGTGTTCTACTCCACGGGGGAAAGGTCACCACAGCTCCACCAAGAACTAAAAACAGTGGGGGGGATTAAGGCAAGTCACTAAGACTGTAAAACTTCCCCAGAGAAGGACCATTTTCTGGGGTGGTTTGGCTCAGACTGGGTTTGCCAAAGCCCAAGCAAGAAAAAATGAACGTGGGATACATAAGCAGACCCAAGGCTTCAGCAAACAGATAGCGACAACTCTCATGGAAGGGTTGGAAAGCACGTTGGCCAATCAGACTCCCTATGTGGGAGACGAGTGATTTCTGACAGGTTTAGTAAGCATGTATGACCTGTCATTCGATACGTTTCCTCTGTAACACTTTTACTCAAAGAATAAAAGTACTTTGCTTTAGCAAAGCTGTGTGGTGACCTGTAACGGTCTTTGGTGACAACGCACAGCCCAGATGCTGGCCTTAAGGCAGACTGGCTGGCTGGAGCTGTCACAGTGCAAGGCAAGGAGCTGGGCTGTCTTACAACCACCAGTTAGAAGGGAGTGGGACATGGGACCCTGCCCAGAGACACAGGATGGCTGGAGACCTGAGAACACAGGGGTACAGACACCTAACTGTCATAAAGAGTGCCATGTGATCTCCCGTGACCAGAAGCCCTGACCACATCTTACATCTATCCTAAGTGGCAGCATGCACCTCAAACAACACAGTCCCCCCCTTAGCACCATGTGGGGCAAGGGCTCAGTACCTAATCAGAGATGCTAAATGGGTCACTCATACCCCTTCCTGGGTATTTACCAGAGGTTTCCCATTCAAATACTGCTCTAGCTCGACGCTGCTGAGTTTATAAGGCCTAAGGGGATTTAAGCCAAGATGGGGCTACGGATGCATAATATAGTAATTAACTTCCACCTCAGGCAGACTTAGTGCCCAGAAAAAGCATGGTGCTCTGGGTATATCTGAGCACAAGATACCAGTGGAGTGCAGACATTTCCCTGGCACTTGGAACCGCAGGCTCAGGTGAGACTTGCAAGGCCACAGCTGGTCTCCTTATTCTCTTTACTCTAAGGAATGGACGTCTTCCAACGCCCAGTCTGCTCCCCCAGCTGGAGTTAAATCCCATGAAGACATGTACATTATCCTAAATTCTGTCTGCAATATAAGCCCCTACCCCATCCACCCACCCCCCCAATTAACACTCAATATTGCGAGCAGGGCAAAGAGTCTGTTACCTACATGGGGTCTGGCTCAAATCCACCCAAGCCAGTAATGACCAGGAGTTGCTACCATCCAGATGCCTATTTGAAGTGAGTCAGGGCTAGTTAAGTATCTGCATCAAAAGCAGCCTTTCTATACACACTCAGCAGGAAGAGGAAGGTCTGGACTGCCCCTCCTTATCCCCCAAGCAAGGAGAAAGGCCACACAGAGTGGGTCAGCTCATACTGCCCGATTAGGCTGAACCTGTTTTGTGAACGTCAGTCTCCAGGATTGTCAAGCTGGCTCAGTATTTTATTTAAAAGGAAGAGTGGTGAATCCCCCAGAATTTCCATCTTTGTTTCTGGATAAGAGTTTATTTGATGCTAAGCCACAGAGCTGACCCGTTTGAGATCCAATGACATAACTCCCCACGGCTTCTTTAGCCCACCACTCACCTTGAGTCAGCCAACTCGGTCTTTTTGCTCCCTCCAGTCTCCGCAGGTTCAGGGGTCTTTGGGGTATGTGCCTGGACTGGAAGCAGAAAGCGAAGATGAGACATCTGGCAACTAAGAGCTACACGTCATCCCTCCAATACCTGCGCGCACACAAGATACAGTAGCATCTGCTGCAGCAACCAGGGGATTAGTACCATGTTTTACCCTGTATCTGTACAGTATCTTGCAGCATGGCGCTGTCACTAACTTCTTTCCAGAGCAAGGATAGTATTCCTTCCACGTAGTTTTACAGTGGCTAATTAGTCTTACTGTTAATTCAGTGTCTAGCACAATGGGGCCCTGGGATGCTACCATAATAATTAATTAATAATTAATATCCACTCTCTCACCAAAGCCATGGAAGGAATAATGCCACTGGTACACCCTGGTGATTTCCATAGCTGTATCTGATTTCTGTAGTGGTTACTTTCAGATGTCTGGGGAAATGGGACCATGACGATGACACAGCATTGCTACCTATAGCATACCATCCTGGTACTCAGTTTGGATTTTAGGAGGTCTTTAGCACTCATGTGCCCATCATGGCCAATAAACTGTTCCTCAGCCCAAGACATCTCCCTCCCAGGAAGACTTGCCCTATGCACACTCTTTGAGATGGGAGCAGGGTCTTCATCTCTGGTTGCCTAAAAACAACAGCCTCTTGAAAGTGGGCCCTTGTAAAGCACCGCAAGAGTGCAACATCAGTGTGTAATGACCACGGTAAACTTTTGCTAACAGCAAGGTTGCTATATCCTGGACCAGTCTCCCAAGCAAAGCGGTGGAAGCCCATTTTCTACAACTGGACAGAGGCTATAGGGAACAATCCTGCACTGGCCCCAGGGGTTGGAGCTGATCATCCAAGGTGTCTCGCTCCCACTTTCCAGTGTCTGAGAGAAGCTCAGTTCATCTGTTGCCCCAAAAGCTGTGTCAGCAGGCAGCTTGAAACACAGCATGCCATCCAGTGGACTCTTCCACAGCATGCTCAAGTCCAGCATCAGGCAGGAGACAGCAACTTACAGCCCCTTGTGCACACAGGATCCAGGAAGAGAGGGAAAGAAAGCCACTCACCTTCTGGCATTTCCTCTTCTGTGTCACTGAAGTCATAGGGGTCATAGGACTCCCCCTCTTTCGCTTCCTGATCCCCAGGGTGCGCCTTCTTCCTCCTGCAGGGCAACAGAAGGTTACTGCCACTCCTCACCACTCTAGGCAATACACCTCCAACTCCACAGGGGAGGCACTTCACACCTCTAACCACTGGGCGGGAATACAGCCGGGCCACCTGCAGATTGCTGGGGAACTCAGTGCTTCTCTTCAAACACTGAAGGAAGACACCCGGGTTGGTTCTGGTAACAAATGAGGAGCAGCCCTGAGGCTGGCCAAAGCATTTGGAAGTTTATAAAAAGATTCAGATTTCCACCCCTCAAAAATCATGACATTTTCTAAAGCTTTCTCCTCTGCCTCCAAGTCCCAGACAGAGGTTCCAAGCCTACAGACAGTTGGTGAAATACCCTCTAGCCAACAGCCTCGGGGGATTTAGCTTTGTTAAATGCAGTCTGACCTCTCCAAGAAAATCCATTCCTGGGGTTGTTTCTGCACACAGATGCGGCTGGTCAAGTTCACAGTCTCTCCCACCCAGTTGGGTTCGCCAGTCCCAGCTAGTGCTCCCTCCCAACATGCATCTCCAGCCCCCCCCCAACACACCTCTTTTTCTTTCTCTCCCCACCATCTGGTTCCTCTTCCTCTTCAGTCTCTGTATCATCCTCCGCCTGCTTCTTGCGTTTCTTTTCCTTTTCCAGCACCTGCAAAAGGGAGCCAAACAACCCAACCCAAGCAGATTAACAGGAGAGTCAACCCCTCAGGCATTGAAGTCTTGGAATAGCCTTCAAAGGGAAGCAGTGGGGGCAAAAGACCTATCTGGCTTTAAGATTAAACTTGATAAGTTTATGGAGCAGATGGTATGATGGGATAATATGATTCTGGCAATTAATTGATTTTTAAATATTCATGGTAAATAGGCCCAACGGCCCATGATGGGATGTTAGATGGGGTGGGATCTGAGTTACTACAGAGAATTCTTTCCTGGGTATCTGTCTGGTGAATCTCGCCCATATGCTCAGGGTTCAGCTGATCGCCATATTTGGTGTCGGGAAGGAATTTTCCTCCAGGGCAGATTGGAAGAGGCCCTGGAGATTTTTCGCCTTCCTCTGTAGCATGGGCCACAGGTCACTTGCTGGAGGATTCTCCGTTCCTTAAAGTCTTTAAACCATGATTTGAGGACTTCAATAGCTCAGACATAGGTGAGAGGTTTATCGCAGGAGCGGGTGGGTGAGATTCTGTGGCCTGCATTGTGCAGGAGGTCAGGCTAGATGATCATAATGGTCCCTTCTGACCTTGATATCTATGAATCTATTTGATACATGCTGAGTCTCCAACAGAGAAGTCACAGCCGTGGTCTGGGAACGGAAAGTATTTTACTCAGCAGTGGAGATCTCAGAGTGTTGGGTATCGTAATTAAGCCTCAACACCCCAAGATGTAGCCTATCATGCCCATTTCATACAGGGAAACATGCACAGAGGTGGAGTCACCTGCCCACAGTTAGCAGCATAACCAGAAATAGAACCCAGGAGTCCTGACACCCAGGATTCCAAAATTACTACAATGCTTACTCCTATGGTACCTCTTGCTGCAGTCTCCAAGCACCATGACCCAGGATTAAGTCAACTCGCCACGAAAAAGAGCAAAACTCCAAATCCCTCCCAGATTAAAGACCGCCAAGAGCAACTGCCATTGCTTGCTTCCTAGACCATGCAGCAAGGAGCCCATTGCAGCTGGGGTCTTGGAAGGTGGCTCGCAGCAGCGAGTCTTCTACCCCGCGCTACAGCTGCCAAGCCCCAGCACTCAGCCTGGACTCCAGCAACAGCCAGCACCACAGCTGAGAGCCACACAAAGAAAAGCCAGATCCTGGAAATTCCAACAGGAGGTTTGCCCCTTTAATTTAATCCTTTGGCAGCCGGAGTCCTGGGTGGTTGCCACTCCCTGCGGGCACCCTGACTACACTCTCACCTTTTTGAAGTAGGCGAACTGCACCAGCTCTACGGCAGCTTCCGCGTCCTGCAGGTCGATCGTTTTGTTCATCCTGGCCTTTGCGTGGGCCGTGGAAAGCCTGATCAGCGTCTCCAGCGTACGGGCCGTGACAGGGGAGGTCTGGGAGGGGAGAGGAGAGGAGAGGAGAAGACAGTCCAGCAACTGAGGGATCAGACAATGGCTCCATGTTGCGGCAATGCCCACATGTTCATTATGGTCCATGCTGGACAGCTGCAGGCAGAGTCCCAGCACAGATCGAGCAAGGCCACACCCCCGAAAGCCTTAGTCACGTGCTGCTGTAGTCTACATATGTCTTAGGATGCAAAGGAAGCCTGTGGAAGACACGCCCCTCAAAGAGTTGAGGGACAGTGCCAGTCATGGAACAGGAATAGTATGCACATGGTATGCTGTGGGCTATAGCCTCACGTGATCCATAGCATCCCAGCGTACTAGGCCAGAGTGAGCCTTCGCTTGAGGCTCAGCATGTGTCTTTGGAGAAAGGACCATGTGAAACTTAAGTGCATGTGATTTCCTCCTCTGTACCTCCCGCCTCCCCATCTCGGGGAATCAGCATCAGAAATGTGCTGCTCTGAGAAGCACTGGCAGGCTCCAAACTGCAATTCAACTGCTTGAAAGCCAACTTTAGGGCAAGGGAAATAGACCAACATTCCCCCCCCCCCCCCCCCCCAGAGAATTATTAGCAAAAGCCTGGGAGAATGAGAGGAGTTCACCTCTCTGGAGCATCATGCCCCTAAGTGGGCGTCCCACAAGAGAGAACATCTCAGGGCCGGATGTGTGACTGTTTCCTTGGCCCATGGGAAAAGGATGGAGCTGACCCATTCTGGTCTCTTTCCTTGTCTGCTCCTGCCTCCCACACCCCGGAAAGATTTGCTCACCCTGGCAATGTCGGAGCTTATCTGGTCCTGGCTGCGGAGGCGGGAGTACTCCTCCGCTATGTAATTCGCTGACTCTTGGGTCAACACCGGCTTGATGATCTTGGCCACATGGATGTATTTTCTCATGAACTCCATGCTAACTATCTTCTCTCTGGCAGAGACACACAAACATATACACAAGTTACGGAATGGAACCAGGAGACTCCATTTTTACTGTGCCGCTCCCTTCCAAAAGGAAGTCGTCCCCCCGGCAACATGAGCAACACACAAAGAACAGGAACACTCCGGGCTGTACGTGGAACATACACATGCATGGAATGCTCAGCCACATACAATGTTCTTCATGATCCTCTTACAGACTTGTGGTATGGGCCAGGTGCAGAACGGCTGCTGTGTTCCACCCCAGGGCTGGACACCTGTCTGTAGTGGGCTAGTGATCCTTCCAGGGATCCTTCCACACAAATGGCACTATATAAAGGCAAGGTACTGCTGCTGCAGGCGACATTTCTCCCACTCCCTTGACAAGCCCACAAAGGAGCTTAGGTGCCAAAGCCCCAGCAGTTTACAACCAGTCATACTGTGAACCTCCTCGAAGATAAAAACCACGACTGAATCACTACAGGGATGGGGCAGACAGGGACACACTCACTTGTGCCTCTTGGGGCCATGCAGAAGGTTGTCGTGTTTTTCATACACTTGTAGCTCCTGGTCCTCCTCCTGCACCACATTAGGATCATCCGTAGCCAGGATCTCTATTGCGCTGCCCAGGGGCATGGCTGGGGGAGACATTAGGAGAGCAGGATTTACGCATCATCCAGGCCCGAACCCTTGAGAGGCTAATACGTAGCTTGGCTAAGCCACAGATATCAACCCAGAAACCTCTACAGCTGACTAGCACTGAGGTGAGAGAGCCAAGGTTTAGGGTGGTAACAGGGCGTGTATAACTAGGTAAAATGGGATGCGACTGAACAAAGCAAACTGTAGACTAGACATCAAGGAAAGCTCATTTCCTGCGAGATCCGAGTATCCTTCCAGGGGGAGTGGAGGAAATGCCCAACTGGACAGGACAAGCCACTGGAGAACGTGCTGCAGACAACAATCTTGCACTGGCCCTACCCCGGAGATGGACTAGATCCAATAGGATTTTCCTCTTATTTAAGACTCTAAGAAAGGAGAAGCTCGAGACCAATTATGCTGCAGGTTTTGAGCCCTCAGAAGTTTTGCATATCACTCAGCTGAGCTCACCCGGTCACTAAATCAACCAAGACACAGAACAATGCAGGAGAGCACTGGAGATTAGTATGGCTCTGCCCGAGTCAGATACCTCAGCCACTCCCATTAGCTCAACCTGCTGTTTATTCTGCTGCTGGCTTTCACCTACCACTTTTGCCACGACTGTTTGGATAACCAGGCATGCAGCAAGCTACTGGCGGGCGAGAGCTAGTCTGCTTAACGGTCAATGCACTACAATGGGGGAGATCAGAGTCCAGCCCCTCAGGGCACAGGAATAAAGAGAAGCTTCCGACCAACGACTACGGGTCCCCAGATGGCGAGTGCAACATAAAGCCTAGAGAAATTTGGGGGTGGGGTGGGTAGGAGGGATCCCACGGTCTTGGGCAAGGGAGAAGAAACACGGTCAGTTGGATTGGGTCAGACCAATGGTCCATCAAGCCCAGTAGCCTGTCTTCCGACAGCGGCCAGTGTCAGGTGCTTCAGAGGGAACGAACAGAACAGGGCAGTTATCAAGTGATTCATCCCCTGTTGTCAAGTCCCAGCTTCTGGCAGCAGAGGACTAGGGACACTCAGCATAAGGTTACGTCCCTGACCTTCTTGGCTAATAACCAGAGATGCACCTATCCTCCATGAACATATCCAACTCTTTTTTGAGCCCAGTTATACTTTTGACCTTCACAACATCCTCTGGCAATGAGTTCCGCAGGCTAACTGTGCGTTGTGTGAAAAAAATACTTCCTTATCTTTGTTTTAAACCTGCTGCCTAATACTTTCATTGGGTGACCATTGGTTCCTGTGGTATGTGAAAGGATAAACAACACTTCCTTATTCATTTTCCCCACATCAGTCATGATTTTATACACCTCTATCATATCACCCCTTAGTCGTCTCTTTTCCAAGCTGAAAAATCCCAGTCTTTTTAACCTCTCTGCATATGGAAGCTGTTCCATGCCCCTCATCATTTTTGCTGCCCGTCTCTGTACCTTCTCCAATTCTAATATATCTTTTTTGAGCTGGGGCGACTAGAACTGCACACAGTATTCAAGGTGTGGGCGTACCATCGATTTACATAGTGGCATTATGATTTTCTGTCTTATTATCTATCCCTTTCCTAATGATTCATAATATTGTTAGCTTGGACTGCCACTGCACACTGAGCAGATGTTTTCACAAAGGAGTCAAGATGAAAGCAGGTAGGGGGGAAAAAGAGAAAAGACTCAACTCACCATCCCCATCCTGCTCGCCAGGTCCTCGATACCGGTGCATTCGCAGGACGTGGTCCGAGATCTCCCTGTCGTGCTCAGGGTCCATCTGATCCAAGACGATGAAGAGCAGATCGAATCGGGACAGCAAGGAGTCTTGAAGGCCAATGTTTTCCATGGGAGTTTTGTACTGATCGTACTGCAAAGAGCAGGGAGATGAGTTACAAGAGACCCTGAAACTATCAGAAGCACTTGGACATCGTGGCTTTTCGAGGGACTGGGTGTCACAGGATTTAAGAACGAAGGTGCTAACACACCATCCTGGTCTGAATGCTGCCCCTGGAAAATAAACCCAGCAGTATTGCTCCGCTTCACCATGCCTTGTTGCCCCATTTACAAAGGAAACTGGTACATTTTACATTCTGCCTCCCCCAGAGTCGACACCAAGCCAGGCACTTTCCAGATCAGAGCTGAAAACCTCGTGTTGCTTTAATTGCTCAGTTTAACAGCTCTTGAGCTGAGCTCCAGAAAATGGGCTAGAGGCCACGTTCAGTCTCCAGCTCATTCATTTCAAGATGGGGTGCACTGGACGTGAGGGCAGAGTCTGGGCCCAGTGTGGACATTAGGATATGTTTTTGGCATCCACAGCTGCACGGAGACCTACCCAGGACCCTGTTATTTTGATCAAGGGTTTTTACCATCTAGAATTTTCATCCGAGCCTCTTGCTCACCCCTCAGGAGATCAGATGATCCTCTCCTGGAAGGTGGGTCCGGTCTCAGTAACTACTAGGAGAAGAGCTGATCCGAGAGAGCCCCACCGACAGCACTCGCCCTGACTCACCCTGCCGTAGACAGGATTGGCTGCAGCCAGCACACTGCAGCGGGCGTTGAGCCTGGCATGGATGCCTGCCTTGGCAATGGTCACGCGGCCCTGCTCCATCACCTCATGGATGGCCGTGCGGTCGATGTCTGACATCTTGTCGAACTCATCAATGCAGACCACGCCCCGGTCAGCCAGGACCATGGCTCCAGCTTCCAAGCGGCGTTCACCTGGGGGGTGGAGCAGGGAGTAGTCCAGGGTTATGTATGGGCCATCATCCCCAAGCCCTCCCCTTCGCTCTGAAATTCACAGAGATCTGACAGATCCCCAGCATCTGGGGTTCAAATCCCCAAAACTCTGGTGCCCAAGGAGTACGTGAAATTCTGGCTTCAGAGATAGCTCTGCCTAGCTCTCCGCAGCGGAGAGTGGTGGGGGTAACGCAGGGAAAGTCAGGGAGATGAATCTTCAAGACAGAGAGGCATGGGAGGACCTGGGGGTGGGATGGGACCACCTTGGGTGGAAAGTAACCAGATCCTATTCAAAGAAGCAAGTACCATTAGTTCTCGCACAGGTACTTCCAGCAGCAGGAAGGTCAAGAACATCTGTGCAGTGATTTAGGGACATGGCACTACCAGCTCCTGCTGCCTATTGGGATCCCACACAGGATATGGGAGAGCTGAGAGCCATCTACCTAGCTGCCCGGGCAGGTGCCACTCAGACATGCAGCCTGAGAAGATGTAAGAAGCTGCACCCCAGCAGACATCCACTAACAGGATATGGATGGCACCAGAGAAGAGGGTCCCATCATGTAAAAGCTTCCAGCAAGAGCAACAAGTGGTTCTGTGATGGCTGACAGATGTTAAGGCAGCCTCACATCTTACAGAGCCATTCCCTTTACTTCCTTCCTCACAGCATCCTCTGCCAGCAGAGCGCTTCAACGATAACCTTACCGGTTTCTTGGTCCGTGGTGACGGCAGCAGTCAAACCAACCCCGGAGGAGCCCCTACCGGTGGTGGGGATGGCCCGGGGGGCTGTGGAGAGCACGTAACGCAGCAGCTGAGACTTGGCGACTGAAGGGTCTCCTGGAAAGGACGAGTCCGAGCAATTATGAAGTGTCCCATCACACAGGCTTTGCCCTCCCGTCACCATAGAATCCCAATGCCACTCCCCTCCACCCTACCTATCAGCAGGATGTTGATGTCTCCTCGGATGCGGCTCCCATTCTCCAGGACCTTTTCCACCCCTCCAAGCAGCATGCAGAGAATCGCTTTCTTGATATACTCATGCCCGTGGATACTGGGGGCCAGAGACCTCGAGAGTTGGTCAAAGACATCCTAAGGCAGAGGAAACGAAGTGTACCACATAAAAAAATCCAGCCAACAAGAATGGCTTCCCTTTCAAGGGACACGATCAGGTAGTTCAGGCTTTGCTAGTCTAATGAGTGGGCTTAAAATCAACAGGAAAGGAAGGGGCTTTCGCTGGCAACTGTTACACATCAGGCACGTTCCCCTGCAGGACAGGAGCCCCCGACAACACGGAGCTAGGTCAGGAGAACTAGAAAGAGAGACCCTGATTCAACTAGTCCACTGTATCTCAGCCAGCTGAGAAAACATGGGTGTTTTAAATCCCTTCAGCAGTGACCTAAGGGGAAGAATTTTTACAATGCGATTTTAACCTGGGTGCACCTCTGAGAGGCAAAAAAGGAAGGTCTTTTCTTTGTTTTGTTTTTTTATATTGAGCCAGACCTTACATCGATGTTATTTACAGAAGAAAGATTCTGAGCTTCCTTTAACATTCCTGCCCATTGCTCAAGTTCTCTCCCTCATGGTAAAGCAGCAACCCCTTTAAGAGCAAGGTCAGCTGGGAAATCTCTCCAGGACATGGTTCTGAAGGGAAGGTCAATCTGAGGGCACTCTCTGGTTAAGAAAAGACCTGCAGGCACTGCAGTAAGAGAGGAGGGGTATGGATTAGGGTTGATTTGTTTCTCTAATAGGTAAGTGTAGGATATGACCTTGTATCCTTTCAGTCTTGGCAATGCTCAAACTTTGATCAGCTAAGGAGAAGGGGAGGGTCTGAGAGTGAGAAAACCTAGGACTTCTGCGAAGAGCAGACACGACTGGATTCCAGTGTGATCAGTGCATGCACAAGAGAGACGTTTGATCAGATAGACGCTGAGCTAGTATCTGAAGAGCATCAACATGAAGCAAAGAAATTGTTTATGCTGGGCCGAAGCAATGAGAAGAAACTAAGCAAATGATACAGGGACGACTGAGTAAGAGCCCCCATACACCTGCACAGGATAAGTGGGGGAAGCTATATCTTTAGAGCCATTTAAAGCTGGACAAAGTACTAGAAAACATTCCGAGCTACCCTGCCTTGCGCCATGGGGATGGGTTAGCTGACCAGTGTTTATGTTCCCATCTATAATATACAATTTTCTACAAGGTGTGTTTGAAAATAAAGCTTAATACCTTTGAGCGACTTTTGCTAAATCTCTTGATCTTGGCCACATCAGAGGCAGAGTAGAGAGGCCGAACCTCTTTGCTCATCTGCTTCACATGGCAGGCAATCAAAATGGTTCTGGAAAGGAGAGGGAGCTTGGTCAAGTCTAGAACACAAAAACCCTGCAGACAGACCCAACCATCCAAGGACCGACAGATTACAGCAATCACCCACAGCATCCTTCCATAAGGGTCCACTCCTCAAGCCGAGTCTTGGAGACTCTGGAAAGCTCAGAAAACGATGTATCCTGATGCCCTCATGTCTGCTTAATTAACTGAGCAATAAGACCATTCTTCATCTGTGTCCGCAGTACTACGTCTCTATCCTTTGTTTGGTCCTGGCCATCCACAGTCACTAGAGAGCTAATGGAACCTTCCAAGAGATTCAGGGTGTTTGACTCTGTGTTCTGGCCTAATTACAGCGCCATGCTGCTGTTCAACAGCTATTACATCCCACCCCAGAGCTGGCTGCATCTCAGTGGCAAGTGAAGTGCTCCTCCTATAAAAGGTAGAGCATTCTGGGATCTTTCACGATGAAAGCAGCAATATGAAGGGAAGGTGATTACACTGTGTGCCTCACCTGAATGTCCCTGATGTGTAGCCCCCCTTCTTCCCTGGCAGACAGCGGTAAGTTCCAACAACCTGGATTCGGTCCCCAGGCTTCACCCTGTCCACCAGGTCATCATCCAGAATAACGTCCACAGAGCGAGGAAGCTGACCAGCTGGGGCCTTCTCAGGCATCTCCTGGATGGTGATGGTTTGATGGTCCTTGTAGACAGAGAGGCCAAATTCCGTCTCCAGGGGATTGTTCTCTTCATCCTGAATGAGCGACACAGTAATGAGATGCCTCATTCACAGGAGCATGGCAAAGGAGTCTCTGGGATCAGATGGGGTCACCCACACAGGGAAGAGAGGCTGGAGTGTCCCTTGTGGTAGCAGTGCGACAGGACTGTCCTACAAGGGGCTTCTTTATTGAGGCTGCTGGACACAGAGACCTTGTGGTTCATCCAGGCTCTCCAGCTCCCAGACTAACAGCCTGTACTACCTAGCGTGAGCCCCTTGGGCCTACCCAAGCACTAGGACAGACTAAGCAGTCATGGAGAGCTCTGCTGGCTACACCAGACAGGCAGTCACAGATCACCCGTGCAAGAGCAGTTACACAAGCAAGACCTTCAGGTGAGAAGAGTGTTATTTGGTCACTGGCAGCCCAATTACCCACTATGTTCTCCAGAGACCGAGTGATCACTCTGCCTAACAGACCATTTGATCCAGTCTGACTAACAGATGCTTCTGTCTCACCAGCAGCCTAGGTTTGAACTCCATCAAACCCAGCACAGACTGCAAAACAATTAATAAGCTGCCTCCTCTGCACTGCTGCCTTCAGGACTGAAACGGTGTTAACCGATGCAGATGTCTGTTTCTTGGGAGGGCATTCAACTGGCCGCTAGGAGGGGCTCCACATACATCGGCACCTCTGCTACAGCAGAGCCGATACATTACTGTTGTTTAATCAACATGCATGCCCCACAGATGAAGCCAGAGGGAGGTAACTCGCTCCCAATAGCTATATGGGACAACTGCAGTGAGGTCCACTGGACTCAGGAGACCTGGGATCTATACCCAGCTCTACCACTGGCCTACTGTATGGCCTTGGGCAAGTCACTTCCTTCCCCAGGTCTCTGGCAAATATTTGACGCTGACTCCGTTTGCTCACCTTAGTGGGGTAGACAGAGCTGGATGGAAAAGCTTCGAGAGTCGTCATGTCCGTGTATCGGCGTTCAATGGTCTTCTTGGTAGCAGGGCAGTAATGGACGCTGCGGACGATCTTCGGACGTACCAGAGAGCCTGCATTCAGATTTGTTTGGTGGGAGGAAAAAGTTAGGAGGGAAGAAACCCTGTAGACCTTCCCCACTCATAGAATCTCAGGGTTGGAAGGGACCTCAGGAGGTCATCTAGTCCAACCCCCTGCTCAAAGCAGGAACAATCCCCAACTAAATCATCCCAGCCAGGGCTTTGTACCTTAAAAACCTCTAAGGAAGAAGATTCCACCACCTCCCTAGGTAACGCATTCCAGTGCTTCACCACCCTCCTAGTGAAAAAGTTGTTCCTAATATCCAACCTAAACCTCCCCCACTGCAACTTGAGACCACTACTCCTTGTTCTGTCATCTGCTACCACTGAGAACAGTCTAGATCCATCCTCTCTGGAACCCCCTTTCAGGTAGTTGAAAGCAGCTATCAGATCCCGCGCCTCCGCACCCCCCCCCACCCCATTCTTCTCTTCTGCAGACTAAACAATCCCAGTTCCCTCAGCCTCTCCTCATAACTCATGTGTTCCAGTCCCCTAATCATTTTTGTTGCCCTCCGCTGGATACTTTCCAATTTTTCCACATCCTTCTTGTAGCGTGGGGCCCAAAACTGGACACGGTGCTCCAGATGAGGCCTCACCAATGTCAAATAGAGGGGAATGATCACGTCCCTCTATCTGCTGGCAATCCCCCTACTTATACATCCCAAAATGCCATTAGCCTTCTTGGCAACAAGGGCACACTGTTGACTCATATCCAGCTTCTCGTCCACTGTAACCCCTAGGTCCTTCTCTGCAGAACTGCTGCCTAACCATTCGGTCCCTAGTCTGTAGCGGTGCATGGGATTCTTCCGCCCTAAGTGCAGGACTCTGCACTTGTCCTTGTTGAACCTCATCAGATTTCTTTTGGCCCAATCCTCTAATTTGTCTAGGTCCCTCTGTATCCTATCCCAAGCCTCCATATCTACCACTCCTCCCAGTTTAGTGTTATCTGCAAACTTGCTGAGGGTGCAGTCCACGCCATCCTCCAGATTATTAATGAAGATTTTGAACAAAACCAGCCCCAGGACCAACTCCGCTTGATACCTGCTGCCAACTAGACATGGAGCCATTGATCACTACCTGTTGAGCCCGACAATCTAGTCAGCTTTCTATCCACCTTATAGTCCACTCCTGTTCACCATGGCTTCAGCAGTGGGGTTTCTACCTGTTCCACTGGGAGATCATCCCACAAAGTAACAGATCTCGGGGCATGTTCCCTGACAACAAGCCTAAATTTCTCAGCTACCTTTCACTCCATGACTCCTAGTTACACCCTAGAGCATCCCTGACGTTCCCACCGCTCTAGTGTCTACAGATAGCTATCAATCCCATGTGTGCATTCAGAGGGAACATCTCAGCCCCCGCACACCATACTCACATTTTGTCACAATGCCCTCCACGCAGACCACACAGCCCAGAAAACAGGATGTCAGCGTCCGGGGCGTCACGTGTTTGGAACCAAAGCTGCCCTCGAGCCCGATGTAGAACTCCTCATACTGCTTAGCGTACGTGGCATCGATGGATGCAACAAAGTCCTTCAAGGCACGCTGAAAGGCGACCAGCTCCTCGAAGGCATTGCTCAGGAGCCTGTAGCAAAAGGCAGCAGGACTCTGGTCAGTTCAGCTGCTAGGAGAGGATCTTGCCAGCACATCCGCAGCAGGAAGACCCTTCCTTCACACAGTGGCAATTCCGAATGCCTTCACAAGTTAATAGCAGAGCTGGGCAAACACCAACAGATGTTTCCCCACCACTCACGTGAGAATTCACTTCAGTCAAGAAGTGAGTGTGCTATGGACATTAAGTCCCTAACCAGGTTACGCACCTAACCCCCACCGCAAGTCTATGGGATTTAGGAACCAAAGTGACTGAGGCAGTTTTGAAAGTCTCACTAGGTGCCTATCTGTAGGTGCTGAAATATTTGTGTAAGTCTGGCCCTAAACCCCATTAGATTCCTAAATTACCTGGGGGCTTTAGAAAGTGTTCCCATCCCTTATATTCGCTTTCTGCTTGCCAAGGTCAAACCCAGGAGGGGAGCATAGCGTTGACATCATCTAACTACATCATGATAAAAGCTACCTGTGACTCATCTCCTGTGATTTTACATCAAGATGGCTAATGCACAGTAAAAAAAACCAAAACCAAAAACACACTACACACGCACCCCTTTTTGGCAGTGAAGGCATAACCTTAGGTCAGGTCCACACAAGAAACTTTTGCCAGTATTGCAAGTCTGTTCGTGGTAATTTTTTTTTTTTGGGGGGGGGGGAGGCGGGGCGCAGCACCATTTTAATATGGCCTATGGTAGATGGTTAAGTGCTTTGGCTGATATATCTTCTGTTGCTCAGGGACCCGTTATAAGGTATAGTGGCAAAAACACTTTAGACGTCAGTGTAAGCTGCATCTACATTAGGATGGTTTGCTGGTATAAGTACACAAGCAAACCTTTTCTAGCGCAGACTGGGCTTTAGAGAGAAAGTAATAGCTTAACTCATTGGCCTGCCTACAAAGTTTGCCAACAGGGCAACAACTGTAATGGCTCTCCTCTCATGCCAGTCACAAAACCTAAGGACATTCAGAAGCTTGCGTGCTATGCAGTAGCTGAATGGAAAGTATCTTGCTAACCGCTCTTATCCAGTCCCTTCAGAGGCCACTCTTACCGGTTGGCTCTCTTCTCATTCTTCCTCCGCAGGTCATTGATGCTGACAATCAGACGATACTGATTGTCACTGATCACATCCCGGACTTTGCTCTGGTAAATCCCCTGATCCTCCTGCAACATGCCATGGGAGAAGGGTTCCATTTTACAAAGTTAAGCCAGTGAGATGCAGCCCTTTTGATCTGATTCCAGAGTCTTTAGTGGCTCAGAAAGTCCCCAACTGTTATTGATGCCAGAATCTCTTTGTTGCAAGGTGTTATAAATAGGAAGGGTAGGGTAAACACCTTTAAAATCCCTCCTGGCCAGAGGAAAAACCCTTTCACCTGTAAAGGGTTAAGAAGCTAGGATAACCTCGCTGGCACCTGACCAAAATGCCCAATGAGGAGACAAGATACTGTCAAAAGCTGGAGGGGGGGGGAGAAACAAAGGCTCTGTCTGTCTGTGTGATGCTTTTGCCGGGAACAGAACAGGAATGGAGTCTTAGAACTTAGTAATTAATCTAGCTAGATAAGCATTAGATTTGGTTTTGTTTAAATGGCTGATAAAATAGCTGTGCTGAATGGAATGGATATTCCTGTCTTTGTGTCTTTTTGTAACTTAAGGTTTTGCCTAGAGGGATTCTCTATGTTTTGAATCTAATTACCCTGTAAGGTATTTACCATCCTGATTTTACAGATGTCATAAATATAAAGGGAAGGGTAAACCCCTTTGAAATCCCTCCTGGCCAGGGGAAAGCTCCTCTCACCTGTAAAGGGTTAAGAAGCTAAAGGTAACCTCACTGGCACCTGACCAAAATGACCAATGAGGAGACAAGATACTTTCAAAAGCTGGGAGGAGGGAGAGAAACAAAGGGTCTGTGTGTCTGTCTATAGTCTGTCTTTGCCGGGGATAGACCAGGAATGGAGTCTTCGAACTTAATAAGTAATCTAGCTAGGTACGTGTTAGATTACGATTTCTTTAAATGGCTGAGAAAAGAACTGTGCTGAATAGAATAACTATTTCTGTCTGTGTATCTTTTTTGTAACTTAAGGTTTTGCCTAGAGGGGTTCTCTATGTTTTTGAATCTAATTACCCTGTAAGGTATCTACCATCCTGATTTTACAGGGGGCACTTCTTTATTTCTATTTACTTCTATTTTTATTAAAAGTCTTCTTGTAAGAAAACTGAATGCTTTTTCATTGTTCTCAAATCCAAGGGTTTGGGTCTGTGGTCACCTATGCAAATTGGTGAGGCTTTTTATCCAACATTTCCCAGGAAAGGGGGGTGCAAGTGTTGGGAGGATTGTTCATTGTTTTAAGATCCAAGGGTCTGGGTCTGTAGTCACCTAGGCAAATTGGTGAGGCTTTCTACCAAACCTTGTCCAGGAAGTGGGGTGCAAGGTTTTGGGAAGTATTTGGGGGGGAAAGACTCGTCCAAACAGCTCTTCCCCAGTAACCAGTATTAGTTTGGTGGTGGTAGCGGCCAATCCAAGGACAAAGGGTGGAATATTTTGTACCTTGGGGAAGTTTTGACCTAAGCTGGTAAAGATAAGCTTAGGAGGTTTTTCCTGCAGGTCCCCACATCTGTACCCTAGAGTTCAGAGTGGGGGAGGAACCTTGATAACAGAGGTGATTCTTCACTTTTTCTTCTATTAAAATTCTTTTTAAGAACCTCGTTGCTTTTTCATTGTTCTTAAGATCCAAGGGTTTGGGTCTGTGGTCACCTCTGCAAATTGGTGAGGATTTTTATCAAACCTTCCCCAGGAAAGGGGGTGTAGGGTTTGGGAGGATTTTGTGGGGAAAGACGTTTCCAAGCGGGCTCTCTCCCGGTTATATATCGGTTCAACGCTTGGTGGTGGTAGCAATAAAGTCCAGGGGAAAAAGGAAAATAATCTCTACCTTGGGGAAGTTTTAACCTAAGCTGGTAAAAATAAGCTTAGGAGGTTTTCATGCAGGTCCCCGCATCTGTACCCTAGAGTTCAGAGTGGGGAAGGAACTTTGACACAGGGAAAGGCCAGATAGAGGGAGGCACTCTCAATCCCCCTCCCCACCCTGGGGTACGTCTGCACTTTGAGTTGGAGGTGCAGTTCCCAACTTGTGGAGACATACCCACACCAGCTCTGATGGAGCTGGCTCACTAAATTCAGAGCATAGCCATACCAATGTGAGCCGCAGGAGGGGCTAACCACCCAAAGAATGTACCTGTCTGAGACCACAGGCACATAGGTGAGGTGGCTAGTACCCTCCTGCCGCCAGAGTTACAATCTATTTATAGCACATTAGCTCAATCAGAGCAAGCACAAAACAGCTCACCCTGTGGGGCTGGAGGAGGAAACAGGAAACCCAGGAACAGCCCTCCCCTCCCCCCATCCCCTCTGCGGCCTCCCCCCAGCACCCCTCCCCCATCCCCTCTGCAGCCTCCCCTCCCCCCCCAGCACCCCTCCCCTCTGCGCCCCCCCCTCCCCCCCAGCACCCCCCCCTCCCCTCTGCGGCCTCCCTCCCCCCACACCCCTCCCCTCTGCAGCCTCCCCCCCCCCCCCAGCACCCCTCCCCTCCCCTCCCCTCTGCGGCCTCCCTCCCCCCCCAGCACCCCTCCCCTCCCCTCCCCTCTGCGGCCTCCCTCCCCCCCCAGCACCCCTCCCCCCCCATCCCCCTCCCCCCCCTCCCCCCCTCCCCCCAGCACCCCTCTCCCCCCATCCCCCCCCTGCGGCCTCCCTCCCCCCCCAGCACCCCTCTCCCCCATCCCCTCCCCCTGCGGCCTCCCCCCCCCCCCACACCCCCTCCCCCCCCCCCTCCCCCCTCCCCCCCCCCCCCCCCCAGCACCCCCTCCCCCCATCCCCTCCCCCCACACCCCTCCCTCTGCCCTCCCCCCAGCACCCCTCCCCTCTGCGGCCTCCCCGGCAGCGGCTAGAGGCGCGACTGGCGCGGCCGGGCCCGGCGAGACTCGGGGCTCCCCCCGCCCCGCAGCAGGGCCGGGAGCTCGGGGATTTCGGCCCCCCCGCCGGCGCCTCACCTCGTCGTCCAGGAAGTCGAGGTAGTCGCGCTGCGCCTCCCGCAGCTCCGCGTCCTCCAGCCCCGCCGGGGGGGCCGCCATGCTGCCTGCGCTGGGGAGCGCGGAGCGCGCCCTGCCCGGGGCTCCCTGCGCTCGGGGCCGGCTGCGCGGGGGCGAGGGGCGGCGGGACGGGACCAGAGGCTGCTCGGGGCCGGGGCGCGAACCCGCGGAGCAGAGGGTGGAGGGGCGCAGGCCGGGCCCGCCGCGCTCGCGCTCCCGCCGGCTCCGCCCCTGGCGCCAAAACGCGATGCATTTTCCCGCCACGGAAAAGGTCACAAAAAGGTTCCCAGCCTGGCCTTCTCCCATTGGCCAGCCTCTGACGGCGCCGGCTCGCCGCCAGCCAATAGTCGAGCGTGAGGGGAGGAGCCCCACTGGAAGGATGGGACTGGATCCCAGCTCCAGCCAATCACCGGGGAGGGCGTGTGGAACTGGGGGGCGTGGTATACCGGAGGGGGAGTTCTCCCGAGCGAGTGAGAGGCCTCTGCTGTGCAAGCGCTAGTCCGCCCTAGGGCATGCTGGGATATGTAGTTTCTTCGAACTGCTCTGAGTCGGAGAGAACATTGCATGCTGGGAGGTGTATTACGGCCAGGGGCATGCTGGGATATGTAGTCCATCAGGGTTGGCTGTTTTTGGGTCAGTTCCGATTCTCTGAACCAGCAAATCAGGCACTGAAACGTTGCTAACCCAGCCCCTGTCACTCAAAAGCCAGGAGTGAGGCCCCCAAACTCATGAGATTAGTAATAATAATAAATGGAAAGGTTTCAGAGGAACAGCCCTGTTAGTCTGTATTCGCAAAAAGAAAAGGAGTACTTGTGTCACCTTAGAGACTAACCAATTTATTTGAGCATGAGCTTTCGTGAGCTACAGCTCACTTCATCGGATGCATACTGTGGAAAGTGTAGAAGATCTTTTTATATACACACAAAGCATGAAAAAATACCTCCTCCCACCCCACTCTCCTGCTGGTAATAGCTTATCTAAAGTGATCACTGTCCTTACAATGTGTATGATAATCAAGTTGGGCCATTTCCAGCACAAATCCAGGTTTTCTCAACCCCCCCCCCCCTTTTTTCAAAAACTACACACACAAACTCACTCTCCTGCTGGTAATAGCCCATCCAAAGTGACCACTCTCCTTACAATGTGTATGAAAATCAAGGTGGGCCATTTCCAGCACAAATCCAGGTTTTCTCACCCCCCCCCCCAAAAAAACACACACACACAAACTCACTCTCCTGCTGGTAATAGCTTATCCAAAGTGACCACTCTCCCCACAATGTGCACGATAATCAAGGTGGGTCATTTCCAGCACAAATCAAAGTTTGTGGTATTTGCCTTCAGGTTGCTCACCTTTAGTGTGAACTGGGGGGTGGGGGTGTCACATTTTCATGCTTTTCTCCACCCCACCCAACCCCCAAGGGATGGAAACATACGAGTTATTAAAATGGAAACAGAAATTCTTACATATTCACATGACTCCGGGAGCTAGGGCTTTCAGAAAATCACGAGTTATCACAAGCAAGGCTCACAATAAAGTAGCAAGTGTTGGCAACGCTGCTGACTTAGGCCCTGATTTTCAGAGATTCTACGCGCTGACGTCAGTGGGAATTGCAGAGGCCCAGCACCTGTCAGCAGCAGGCCACTAGTTTTTCCCCAATGAATTTCCCTGACTTATGTTTATAAGATGCCCATTGGAATCTCTTTTTTAAAAACAGGCTTGTTTCACTGCAATTAAAAATAGGTGCAAAAGGAAAAAAAAGAAAGAAAGACTATCTTTCCACTGTGTGTGTATTGCACCGAGCACAGAGGGTCCCCAATACTTCATTGGGGCTTCTAGGCACCACTATAATACAAAATGGTAGTGGCAGCTATGATGATAATAAATGCCCATCTACGACAGTGGAGAGACAAGGTGGGTAAAGTTATGCCTTTTATTATTTTTAATATCTTGTTAACTCACTCATCTTGTCTCTCTGATATCATGAGACCAGTAAGGCTACAACAACACTGCAAATATTGCAACATGTTATTTGCAATATTTAGCACAGATACTCTGCTTCCCCAGACCTGAAGAAGAGGTCTACTTAGCTTGAAAGCTTGTAACTTCCACCACAGGAGTTAGTCCAATAAAAGATATTAGCTCATCCTCCTTGTCTCGCTAACAGTCAGGATATTATCAGCTCTGTAAAATGCTACATCAAAATCTTCATTCATTCCTATCTAGTCCCACTAGGGGAAGCAGCTTCAGATCGAACACAGCTAACCGTTGTCTGTGTGTCCAAATGAGAGTATATAACAAGTAGGTGTCTTGTTTCCTCTTTACTGGGTTAGGTATCAGGATCAGTTTCACCTAGACATCTGAAATCTGCTAAATAGCTATTGTTACTAAATTAGAATGATACCCAATCCTCAAGTATAATCACCCCACTCCTGTAGTCCTTTTTACTGGTTCCGCAACTGAAACTGTACAGCTCTGCCCCTTCCTTGCTTCTCATCTCTTGGGTCCAATTCCTCTCTCCTCTCCTCTTGGAATCAGAGTAGCAGCTGTGTTAGTCTGTATCCGCAAAAAGAACAGGAGTACTTATGGCACCTTAGAGACTAATAAATTTATTTGAGCATAAGCTTTCATGAGCTACAGCCCGCTTCACGGGATGCATAGAATGGAGCATAGAGTAAGAAGATATATATATACATACGGAGAATATGAAAAGGTGGAGTAAGAAGCTAATTAATTAAGAAGAGCTATTATCAGCAGGAGGAAAAAAAACTTTTGTAGTAATAATCAAGATGGCCCATTTAGACAGTTGACAAGAAGGTGTGAGGATACTTAACATGGGGAAATAGATTCAATATGTGTAATGACCTAGCCACTCCCAGTCTCTATTCAAACCCAAGTTAATGGGTTTGCATATTTTGCATATTAATTCAAGCTCAGCAGTTTCTCTTTGGAGTCTGTTTTTGAAGCTTTTCTGTTGCAAAATTGCCACCTTTAAATCTGTTACTGAGTGGCCAGAGAGGTTGAAGTGTTCTCCTACCGGTTTTTGAATGTTATGATTCCTGATGTCAGATTTGTGTCCATTTATTTTTTTTGTTTTTATGGCTGACTTAGAACAACGCTTCCTTAGCTCTCATCCCCTAACGCCCCTACTCTACTTGTGCTACATTGATGACATCTTCATCGTCTGGACCCATGGAAAAGAAGCCATTGAGGAATTCCACAAAAGCACTAACCCAGGAACCTATCCTTGCAACAAAGCCCGATGCCAACTCTGTCCACATATTTATTCAAGTGACACCATCATAGGACCTAATCACATTAGCCACGCCATCAGGGGCTTGTTCACCTGCACATCTACCATGTGATATATGCCATCATGTGCCAGCAATGCCCCTCTGCCATGCACATTGGCCAAACCAGACAGTCTCTTCGCAAAAGAATAAATGGACACAAATCTGACATCAGGAATCACAACATTCAAAAACCGGTAGAACACTTCAACCTCTCTGGCCACTCAGTAACAGATTTAAAGGTGGCAATTTTGCAACAGAAAAGCTTCAAAAACTGACCAATGAGAAACTTCTGAGCTTGAATTAATATGCAAACTAGATACCATTAACCTGGGTTTGAATAGAGACTGGGAGTGGCTGGGTCATTACACATATTGAATCTATTTCCCCACGTTAAGTATCCTCACACCTTCTTGTCAACTGTCTAAATGGGCCATCTTGATTATCACTACAAAAGTTTTTTTTTTCTCCTGCTGATAATAGCTCATCTTAATTAATTAGCCACCTTTTCATATTCTCTGTATGTATATATATATATATCTTCTTACTCTATATTCCATTCTATGCATCTGATTTAGTGGGCTGTAGCCCACGAAAGCTTATGCTCAAATAAATTTGTTAGTCTCTAAGGTGCCACAAGTACTCCTATTCTTTTTTTACTCTTGGAATAACTCAGCTGAAGTCAATACAGCTTCACTAGTGTAAAATTGGTGTGAGTGGAGAATCAGGCCTCTCCTGCAATTCCTCCACTCAGATGCTGAGTTCCACCAATTCTGCTTCTGTTCATGACCATTTCGCTATTTCCTGTGCTGTCCCCCTGCAATAGCCTGCCTGATCCCATGTTCTCAGCAGCCTCCTGGGTCCTTCAAATGTACCTCTTTCCACAGGCTCTCTTAGAGTGAGCTCAATTCTCCTCTTAGTTGTAGTGACTTCAATGGGGCTGTGTAACTGAAGGGGAGGATTTGGGCCCAATGTCACACACCTCCAAGCTAACCTTTGGCATCCTAGGCAAATCTAAATGTAAATTCTAAGCTAGTGCAATGTAACATGACCCTTGTAATGCGCAAATGCATAACCGTATTGCATGTCCCATGCTTCCCCCTCTGTCATGTCTCCCTCCAGCGTTTCATGCTGTGTCTAACCTAGGTTGGAAGATGTTTGGAGCCGTGACTCTGGACCTGATACTCCACAAAGTAGGTATAAAATGCTACCCGGTCAGGATGGTAACTCATGGCAAATGGCTACACAGCATGCAGGGGAGTGGAGAATTAGGTCTTATTGACCAGGTTCTGGTCCCTGCTCTGGCTGCTTTGTGTCTTTCCGATGGCGTCAAGTAGCTAGAAAGCATCCCTAATGAAGCTGGAGATTCCCCTCAGATAAGGGCATAAACCCAGCTTTAGATGACTCTATACCACCTGCCCTTGGCTCCACTGACAAGGAAGCATGTTGGAGGCAGAAGGAAGTATGGCCAAAGCACAATGCACTCCAGGGATCTGGGGTTAGCAGAACAGCCCCAGAAGGCCATTCCAGCTGGTGCCAGTTAGAGCACCTTTGAGGGTGAGGCTGCTCCAATTCGTGCTTGGGGTAAAATTAGCTCTTGGCAGCCTTCAAAATCAGAGGTGATGGAAAGGTGGTAAAAAGCCACTTATGCTCCCTGCTGGGGTGCAACAGTCAGGGCTCGGGTTCACCTGTGGATTTGTCCCCATGTCTTTATTTTCTCATTAAAGCACTATGCACACCCGTGTAACCATGGGGAAGAAAAGCAGCAGTAGCAGAAGAAGAAAGGACTAAGGATCCGCTCCTGCTCCCACCGAAGCTATTAGGCGTTTTGCTATCGACAGGAATGAGACTAGGATCAAGCCTTATATTTTTATAGTTGAGACCCTGAAAAGAGCTTGCTGGGTGCAGGATGGAAATATCCAGGAATATGCTGGCTAATGCATGTGTAGATAACAGCCCCAG